GAAGCTTCGTTTAATGAGATCTGCAACAACGACGTTATTCTTCAATCCATCTCCAACAACAAGGCAACAGCAACTGAAATCCAACAACGCAAAGCAGCATCCACACCAACATTACAACTAAATTCCTCAACATTTAATAATAATACGCTGACATTTGATCAAACTATTCCAGTAAAAACAACATCATCACCATCACCATCATCATCACCATCATCATCATCACTATCAACAACATTAACAACAACAATATCATCATCCAAACGAACACCAACATCATCATCATCATCATCAAAATCGACCTCAACATCAACGACATTGTCTTCAACCGTGATGTATTGTATATTTTCCGCTTCCAGGATGAACTTCACAGTCGGGAAGGAAAGCAGGCATTCAAAAATAGCATCAGCCGGCACAGCAACAACAATGAAATCCAGAGCATCATTGCCAACAACATCTTCACCACTGTGTACTAAATTGAAACAAAACTTGAACCCAACAACAACAACAACGCAAGCATCAACGATAACACCTTCAGGACCGACATCAGTCATAACATCATCAACAACAACAACAAAACTGAACACGTCGTCAAAAATAAAACCCACATCAATGTCGTTGACAACAAAAACTACCACGACAAAATCAACCACCAAATCATGCCTACCGCCACTAATAGTAGCAACAACAATAACAACAGCAAAACCAACTCTCACTTTTCCACTTCCTTATCTCACCCCTCCCATAATTACGGTTGATCTCGTTCTGGATTCTCCTCCAGATGAAATTGAGAATAATGACAGGAGCTGCAGTGAAGCAATATCTTTCCCCAACACGACAAATAATTTCTCCCGCGCTACCACCAAAATCGATGGTGATCACATCAATCCGGATGCTAATGCGACCAAATGCAACACACATCTGGATAGGGTCAGCAGCAGGTTGCATGGCTGCTCTGACAATGACAGTTTCATTGGCATCGACACAGACGACAATCAAAACAACACTAACAACTCATTGGTCGACAGTGCGAGCGTTTCTGTTGTTGCGAGCAAAAGTATTTGCAACACAGAAGTCTACAGAACACCTTACAGAAAGAACAACAATGAACGGAACACTGATAACAACAACAGTAACAACAACAACGCGGGTAATCAACATTACAAACAACATCAAACACTAACGCCCCTCTACGACTATCCAACAAAATCATCCTCACAGAACTCATCAACATTAAAAAAAACAACTGCATCAACAACAACAACACAGCCAACAACGACGACGCTAGCATTTATTTCAAAGCCAGATTTACTGAGCTCCTCACTGCACGTGCCACAGCTTCAACTCCACTGCAGCAACAACAAAAATCGACAGCAAAGAGGAGGATCTCTCGTCGACATCACGTGCTACAGAAGCAACAACATCAACAACAAATTCAACAACAACAGCAACAACAGTCAGCTGACACTTGCCAAATCCCAGCAACAACAACCAACTCGATCATCTTTCAGCAACTTGAGGCGTTTAACAGTCTCCTCGCTGAGCACTTTCAATCAACCGCTACGTCACCGCTTGAGTGCAGTTTCGGCCCACTTCAGCTTCAGACCGAGTGTCTGTTCAACCGGAAGTGCTGGACGGTTCGGCCTCGGATGTCCAGATAAAGGAAGGAGAGCTGTCCAGGTGAGTGATGGTTAAGGAGGTTCAGGTGTGTGATGATCACGTGCTCCAGGATGTTTTGTGAAATGTCGTTCTGATGAATAATGTTGAAAAATGAATAATGTTGTATAGGCGTCTGTGGCGATGATGAGTCGGAGAACGATGGTGCTTACGTTACGATGAAGTTGGAAAAAAAACGAACATTACTTCATTCATTATATATAATGGAAGATATTTATTTAATTGCGTAAAAAAATTAAAATCCGGACTAATATGAGATATTTTAAATAATTTCAAAAAAATAAGTTTTACAAATATGGATTATTAAAATGTTTATCAACTTCGACATGCTTCAGGTCCTGGGAATATTGTTCGTGGTCTTTGTCATTTGCTACCTGCCGTTCTTCGCGCTGTACCTGGTGAACACAACCTGCACAGTCTGTAGGGGTTACATCAGTCAGACAACTCTCAACATTCTCGAATGGCTCGGCTACAGTGGCTCCCTTTTCAATCCAATTATTTACCACATCTTCAACCCAGACTTCAGACTTGCGTTTCACGATTTGATTCGCTGTCGCTGTTGTGGCCGCGGCAGCAACAGCTGGAAGCGTCAACGTCAGAACGGAAGCGGCATAGGAAGCGGCTTTGGACATTTTGGCGTTGGAAGTGGAGGAGGGTCTGGATATCGAGGAGGCAGTGTTTCGAAGGTTGGAATGAGACGTTACTCGTACCTTCCGGTGGCTACCGCAACTCCTACAAAACACAACTCCGTCGTTTCCATCAACGTCGTCAGCAGCAGCAACAACAACGTCGGACACCACAGTCGAGCCAGTAGCAACAGCGTCATTGACTGCAACAACATCAACTTCAACCGCAACAATTCCTTCTCTAGTTGGCAGCAGAACAACACTAACGGCGGCCAACACAACTGTCGCTGCTTCTCTTGCTTCAGAAGATCGTGCCAAGTGCGACGCTACTTTTTGTTCCTCTGTGGCTCAACAAACAAATGTTGCAAGTCAAAATGTTGCCAAAAAAGTACGACAACAAAAACAACATTCAACAAAGAATTGAGAATGTTGAATGTGCCGATAATCAGAAAGTTTGAAATAGACTGAGGACAACCCGGAAGGATTGCCAACAAATACTCGACATTCGTTCCTATTTTTTGTCATTAAACAACTTTATTTGTTCCTAAGATGTTTAATAAATAAATATCTTTGTAATAAAATTATATATATTTATATATAACTATATTTTATTAAGTATTATATAGTTATACATATTATAGTTATATATATATATATATATATATATATATATATATATTCACATGTGTATTTTCCTATTTATTCATAAAATATATATGTGTGTATGTGTTTGTGTGTGTGTGTGTGCAAATGCATATTTAAATGTATATATTATGTGTATATGTATAGAAACGTATATTAATTTATCAAACAAATTCGAATGTATTAGCAGCAGCAAGAAAAAAGATTAAATTATGCTAAGTAGAAATTTGGTTGGTGAGGCGGTCCAAACGATTTGAGAAGAGCTTGTCTCCAATTATCAGTGAAGAACTTCTCCCGGATTGAATGCATCATCCTATCCGGGCTCCACAATGTTATACAACACCTCGTTCGTGTGACGCTAATTGTGCATTTGTTGAATGTTGTGTACGTGCGTGTACATTGTTAGACAAAAGTTTAACAGGCAATCAAACAAGGAGCAGCTATAAAGCATCTTTGCGTTTGCCTTGGACTGGAAGGACATAAAAAAAGATATTTTTACCGTTTTAACTGTAAATTTGTTTACATTGAACAAAAACTTTTGTAGTGTTATGAGTGAGTTCAGATGAGTCATAAAGAGAGGATAGACAGAGACCATCAAAAATCTACTCAGCAACGTTTTAATTTCTTTTGGTTTTCAATTTGTGTCCACTACACGTGCACGCGGTAATATGAAAATTTAAATTAGATTGTTAATGTTGTAGTTGACAACTCGTCAGAAAAATAACTTCGCATCGTGGTAAGTTAATCAAATTGTTCTGATTGGCTCCATTTGCTAAAAATACAGCCGAGAGCTGTTCGCGCTTAACCGTTGCTGCTTATTGTTCTGCATGTCGTTATCAGCTGGCTGACGAAGAATAAAACAACAACTGAAACGTTTATCAAGAGATAAAAGATACGTATGATGTAGGAAGGCAAAGTAGGATGCGTGGCAATGGCTGAAGTAACCTGACGTCATGCGGTGCTGCTTTCGATGACATCTGGGAGGATCTTCTTGCATGCTGGTTTCAATAGAGGTAGTTGCGCGATTCATTTGTTTGAGAACCAATGCATGTCTTCTGACTGAACCATTTGTTATTAAGGGTAAGGAAAATATGTGACAAGTGTGTTTGGTTATGTTAGGGGTTAGTGTTATGTGCAAAGTTTGTGAGCACTAATTAGACCAATGGAGTCATTTTACGACATCACAATGTTTCTATAAGCAGATAATGACGACTGACACGTTACAACGCAAGGAACTGTTTGGTGAGGGTAGCTTGGGTAATAACGTTTGATGTTTAGGCATCAATAAAATTTAACGGTGAACGATCTATTTTTTGGATAAATTATCAATTGCATTTTCACAACAACATAAACATTCTTTTAATTACACATGTAGTTCCAAATGTAATTAAAGCATTTCAATGAAGTTATACATGAAAATATTTTCTTATTACACAAAATTGAAATATTTTTCAACTTATTTCTACGTGGCCGACTTTAAAATATTCATTTCAATTACTCTTCTACTTGCTAAGCATGTCATTTTTCATTGCCACCATCGGGAGATGACTGTGCGTGCAGTCGAATCCGGTAGTTTGCATTCATGTTCGAATCCGGTTTTTAAAAATTATTCTTCTTTTAGTTTGTTGCAAGTTCAATTGAAAAAAATTAATTGAAATCATCTTTGCAATGAATAGCTGAGAATTTTAAATAATATTTAAATATATTTAAATTCTTCATAAAAAATAACTGACACATTTGATCCTACACTACCACCAACAACAAAAATATCACTAATAATAATATTGGCATCGACTTTATTTTTTATTGATAGGTAGGCGTTCGCATGTTGTGTGCCTATGCATCGCGAAAAACAAAAATACGGTCAAATATGCAAACATAAAAACACATACAAACGTAAAAACACATACAAACGTAAAAACACATACAAACGTAAAAACACATACAAACGTAAAAACACATACAAACGTAAAAACACATACAAACGTAAAAACACATACAAACGTAAAAACACATACAAACGTAAAAACACATACAAACGTAAAAACACATACAAACACAAACAGATAGAAACACATACACGAGCCAGCACACGCACATACACACACACGCACACACACAGAGACACGGGAGCAGAGCATCATAAATTTCGTATCTATTTATAAACCGTTCCATGTCCCTGAATAGTAGCTCAGTTGTTCCATCTTGGAATGAGAGTAAAAAAATTATGATGAACCGTGGAATGGCTGTTAAGCAAAACAAAAACGAACGGAGATAATGTGCCGATACGATACGAAAAAACGATGAATTCATTCATAATGAGATGAGAATAGCGATTCGAAAAAATACTTATTTCTGTCTCGAATCCATACTTTTTTTTAAATACTATTTTTTAATAAAATATAAACAACACAATTCAACAAGATCTTGTTGAATTGTATTATATCTTATCACTTATACAAACACTTGCAAAACACATACACGAACAACGTGAACTAACACAGAGACTTTTATCATCTTACAGCATCGGAAAGATTGCTATATCATATTCTCCGTTCGCAGGTTCGTGCCAAATGAATGCGGACAAGCGCCGCTGCACATCTGTGATGGATAATAATTTTATTCCTACTCGCTTTCATATCTCAATGGAAATATTTTATGCATTTTTGCGCCTGTCTGCGTGATAACGAGTCAAATTCATATGATATGATCCAAAGATCCGCGCTGAAAAACAAAGCAGATCTGCTAGTCCTAATCAGAGTGAGTGAAAGTGAAACCGTTGTGAGCTAATTTGTGAGAATTTATGGCGCAACCAGCCTAAGCATTTGCAACGTTGAAACAAAAAACAATGAAGAATGTAATGAATTTTTTTACATGCGTATTCATCATTCTGAGATTATGTAAACAAATTCAACGGATTTAATTATTTTCAGAACATGAGAAAATTTTAAAATCAACGTAAAAAAATAAACTCAAAAAACGATTGGATGATATTTTGACAATGTACACTGACAATGTACACCTACGTACACTGGCGCCATTGCGGGTACTGTACAAACAAAATGTACAATTGCAGTACGGAGTGCTAAAATGTTACATGAAATACATAAATGAGAAGAAAAGATGAATTATAATAATATGTAACGTACAAACACAGGAAATAAAACCAGAAAACATATAAACAAACATACACATACTTGCATGCGCAGATACACACGCACGCACGCACACACACACACGCACACACATACATACGCATACACACGCACACACATACATACGCATACACAAGCCTATCTATTTATTTAATCGCATACAGAATTTAATTTACGTGATGACAATGGCAGAGCAAGTTCCACATCAGTGGTTGAACTATTTAAAGTACACGGGCAAGACACGAAAGAGTGCCCTCTACATAAAATCAAACAATGTACATGAATCGAATGCAGCACTAAGCAACAATCACACGCACACACGCACACACGCACGCACGCACGCCCGCACACGCACACACACACGCACCACATTTCATAAACTCAAAAACACTTCATACACACACATACACACACTCATACACAGGTATGAGTAATATACTACTGTTCATTTATGTGAATATAAACACACACGCACACACACACACACACATATATATATATATATATATATATATATATATATATGCATGTGTGTGTTGACAATGTTTATATAACAATATAATATATATATATATATATATATATATATATATATATAAATATAAATATACTGTTAATACAAATTAACAGTATGTATGTATGTAAATAAACAATGAGCAAATTTATAAAACAATAAAAAAAATTGACTGACAACAAAATGATTGACCAGCTGACATTTTTTTCAAATAAATCGTCTCATAAATCATCATCAAATAAATCATCATCAAATAAATCATCAGGACACAACGATTGCACGATTTGAAACAAAACAAAAGAACATATAAATATTTCAAGAGATAGGCCGAAGATGACGATAAAGAAAGGTCAGAAAACGTACAACCATAGATATATAATGCAAGTAAATTTTTATATCTATGCCTACATCACTTTACGATATATTTACCGGGTAGATTTGAAAGAATGATCTATAATGAAGTAATTAAATTCATTTGATTGGGCCGGTCAGTTTGCAACACAAAAAATATGGCAATTGTATTTATAATAATAATAATTATAATGATAATATAAATAATGATTAATATAATTATCACTAAAATTATTATGGCCATTCAAAAATTGTACAGTTTTTGTTGATTTTAAAACTGTCCTAAGGTTAATGTTCTCTGTAAAAAAAAAGGTTCTCTGTGTGTGCATTTATAGAGAAATGATTGAAAATAGTAAAATCAGTAACCAGCGATTACAAAGTCTCGACATGCAATCACTCACTCACTCACTCACTCACTCACGCACTCACTCACGCACTCACTTACTCACGCACTCACTCACACACTCACTCACTCACGCTCTCACTCACTCACGCACTCACTCACTCGCGCACTCACTTACTCACTCACTCATTCAATCATTCACTCACTCACTCATTTACTCATTCATTCATCCATCCATACATTTCTTGCAGAGTGAAATGTAATGCCTTCGAACAAAGCAAGTTGGTTCATAGTATAATCTAGGGATGTTCAGTACATGAGTGAGGTAACGCGGACTGCAAAGAAGAAAGTGTTTGTCCGGAGCGTAGCATATGTTTCCAAAATTCACCAGTTAATAGGTATATATATATGCATATCTAGATGAAGAAATTGAAATAAACACTATGATGTGTGTGCGTGCGTGTGTGCGCGGGTGTGGGTTTAAATTTATTAAAGTTAAAAATCTTAAAATATTTTAGAAATGAATAGATAATGAATATAAAACAGCTGAATGGAACGGGAAGGTTGATATGAGTTGGAGAGAGCCAATGGTGAAATAAAGATAGAGGTTGAGTTTGGCAAAAATAAATTGCACAGTGAAATGAATTCATTCAGCTTTATGATTGAATAAATGAATATATATAAAACTGTTTATGCCAATGAAATCAGCATGAATAAAATCGCAAAAATAACATGAAAATGAGAGTTAATTTTTTCAAATTAAAAAATATATTCTAGAAAAGGCACAAGAATCGTCGGATGATTTCATCACACCCCATCCGATATACTTTCCAAGCAACACACCCCAGCCAAAAAAACTTCCACATCATGACATCCCAGCCAGCATACTCCAGCACATCTCCCACCTCCCACACTGTCTCAACTGCTATCGTGGCCGTGCTTCCTGGAATCAGCCTTAAAATCAAGCAACTCCGGTTTATTCGACCAGTCATACACGCGGTCGAACGCGATTTTGCGCTCCTCTGCAAGGAAGGTCAGGTACCTCTTCCATTTGGCAGCAGTCACATTCGGATCATTCTTTTTCGCTCTCCTGCACTTGCTGATGAAGTCCCCGAACAGACTAGGCAAACCTCCGCACAGGCTGTCGATCGGCGTAGAAGCTTTAATTTTTCGTATCTCCGCCAATTTTTCTTCGCGATTTTTGAAACCCTTCACACCTTGCCATGGCAGTCTGCCCTTTAAAAAATATAAGAAACAGTAACCCAAGGATTCGAGGTCGTCCCGCGGTTGATCCCCTTGACCATCGTGAGCGTGGAGACCCATGTATCGAACGGTGCCAACCATGGGTCGGTTTATCCCGTAACCAGAACTGAAACCACCACCCACTGAAAACCGCTGACGTTGGCATTTTTTGGCTAAACCAAAGTCAATAAGAAAAACTGTATCTTGTTTGCTAGAGCCCAAAGCGCCAATCACGAAATTGTCTGGTTTAATATCGCGATGAACATATTCCTTAGAGTGGATGAAGTCTAATATGTCGAGAACCTGCTCTCCTATCAGCAAGACAGTTTTCAACGTAAAGATGTGCCCACAAAAGGAGAACAATTCTTGGAGACTAAGTCCTAAATAATCCATGACCATGACATTATATAAAGGTTCATAGCTTCCAAACCAGTGAACTTTGGGAATTCCAGGACCACCTTCGAGATGTCGCATAACGTTGCCTTCCTGCAGGAGCTGCTGATGTGGCGATTTCATTGATTCTAGTTTGACAGCAACTGTTTCAGAAGTATCGAGTAAAACACCGAGGTGAATGTCACCATAAGAGCCCCCATTAATTTTATTTAACACTCTCGTTTTAATGGTCCTACCAACTATAAACTCATTAGACTCTACCTTACTACCACCAACTGCCTCCTGTAACTCAGTACTGTCTGGGATGGCCACCACCACCTCATCCTTCCCTGGCGACAAATTTATAATCTCCAGATCCATTTGCTCTTCAGTTGTATCCATTTTCTTTTATCTGTGCCAAACATATACAACATAATTGTTTGAAAATTTAATCAAGAATTTTTTCTATTTTAATCACAAATACAGATTCTTATCTTATGTATTTTATTTTCAATTATAATAATTTAATATATAAAATCATATAACTTAGATAATATAACAGCATAAACACATATTATTTGTATGTATATTATATATATAATTGATATTATTACTATATATTGTTACTATAATTAACTGATATTATTACTATATATTATAATATAATATACATTATATACATAAATATATTATACTGCATCATCATATATTACTTATATTCATTTTTATCTTCAAGTATACTATACATATTATAATGCATAAATTACTGATAAAAAAACGTTGAAAAAAAGACCTACTTCCAAATAAGAATTATTGAGTTTCTTTATGCTTTGCCTAGCTTTAGGTTAAGTTAGGACTTAGGAGGTGTAGTTAGACTTGTAGGTAGGTCAGATCGGTTCACGAGGTCAGGCGAGAGTTAGTTTTAGGCGTTTTAGCGTTAGCTGGTTTGGTCTCTTGCTTTTTAACGTTGGTTGTTTCGGAGAAGCCAGTGGCAGATCCCGCCAGTTTTCTAATTGCTGCAGAAATACTGACCTGCTCCGTTGGTTTATACTTTCGGTTCGGCGGTTGGTTGAATCAGTCGGAAAGGAGATAGAGACAGATAGACAGACAGACAGAATGAATGGTGGTAGGATAGGAAGACTCGAAAAATTATCAAGTTCGTAATATAGCTTGAGGCAACAACTTTTTCTAATGAAATATTTTAAAATTATTTTATTTTAGCAATGAAAAAATACGAATTGGTTGGTTGTCATCTTACAGGGGGAAAGTTACAATTGAAAAACTGAAGTAAACTGCCAGTGACCCCGCAATTAAGGTGTGGATTGTGTTCAAGGTGAAGGCCGCTCTTTAAACGTTAACAGGGCTGATTTTTGCAAAGTATTATGAATTTTTTTAAATATAATAACTATTTTACTAACATAAATAATTTTTATTTATTAAATTTTAATTTTTTTATTTAAATTTGTTTTTAATTTCGGTATATAACAAATGTTAATTTTTTCTTGATTGGTCTATTCCTATTTTTTACCGTTACTTAAGTTTACTTTGAATGATTCGGTAGTTGATTATTTAAACTAATTTCTCGTCTAAATCTCAAATTTGCGTTAGTGGGGACTTTTAGTTCATTCATCTGATAATTCATCTTATAATTTATCCAATAGTTTATCTGGTAATAAATAATTTATCTGATAATTATCCTAAATCTAAATTTCTAAATCATTCCTTCAAGTAAGTGTAACTGTGTAATTAATATTAAATTAATCGGTAAATGTAATTTATTTTACTACTAATTATTCAATTTTATTCAAATTCATTTCTATCTTTTAATCTAACTAATTTATAATTCTGACTTTTAAACTTTAATGAAAATAGTTTATCTGGTAATTAAATCATAATTTTATCTTATCTATAATAAATTATAAAAGTAAGTATAACTAGTATAAACTATCTATAAGTATAAAAATTTGGTTTTAATTAATAATTAATTAATTTATTTATTCTCTTCTCTACTATTGTCTGGGATTTTAATCATTTAGAACTGAATAAATCATTCATTAGTCAAAAAATTAAAAATAAAATTCATTTTCTCTTTCAAATTTAAATGAGAAGTTAAATAATGAAATGATTAATAATTTTTGAAATTCAATTCTAATTCTAAATTTTAAAAAATTAATATTTTTCAATCAAAACTTTAGATTCTAAAGTCAGTTCAAAATGAGGAAACTAACATCTGAAGAGAAGTTGCACATCTGTAAAATGTATTTTAGGAGTTAGTTTCAACGACAACAATTTTTGATAAACCATTTAATCAATAAAAAAGTTAATCATCTTTTATTGCTTATAGAGCACACTCCTTTTTATTACACAACAGTTATTTTTTGCTTAATATTATTATAATTTAACATCTTAGTCTGGCTTTTTAAGTTATATAGCAGATGATTTTTTGTTTATTTTATTTTTAAACTTTTTTTTTAAATTCGCAGTCGGCTTTTTCCTCCTGCCTTTAGTTTGGATCATGAACTTTTTGTGGTTCTTCAAGGAAGTCTTCAGGAAGACGCCCACACCGATGAGGAAACAAATGAGGAAATGTTGGAAATTATAAATTTGTCGTCTTATAATTTGTATAACTTTTTTATCTTCTTGCTTGTTGCGTTTTCTTTTATTTTTAACTTTTTGTTTGTAGCATTTTGGGTCTTTCAGAGGTTTTTTAATCTCACCATCACTCAGTTATTTTTTTCCCAAATCAGTTAATATTTCATTTGAATTATCTATAAGATGACAGCAGAGGATCATAGTCTGAGATTTTCTAATATTTTTCATTTGACCTTGACACTCTTGAACGTCATCTATTCAACTTTGCGGCGGTTACATCTGAGGCATTATATAACTTCTCTGGTTACTTTCCTACATGTATGCCACAAAATTTGTATGCACTTTTTTGTTCCAACCTTTTCTGTGCTCCAATGCCTAATAGCACTAATTGTTATGTTGTGATGTCAGTTTCAAAGATTTGAAGAAAATTGTTTCAAGTAAATATATAAAAAGGCTGCGATCAAATGTCTCTACTGGTTTTTCAAAAGTTATTTCATCATAGAAATATTAAATAATAAATAAATTAATTAATTAATAAAAATAATAAAGAGCTGTTCGTCGTGCGCAGATCTAGTGCTGTCGTTGGTTGGGGCCATATGTTACTCAACACTGATGCTCATCTGGGTGATCGTTTACAACCTCAAGAGATTCGACTGGGATCGATTCGGAGACAAACTGACTTTGATCTTTCCAGTTGGAGAGTATTAGGAAATAAATAAATGTTCGGCATCAATTTGATTTGTTCTTTTTCAGTGAAAGTTCTTTCATTCTGCTTGATATTTTATTATTATTGATTGAAATATTTTATTTTGGACCGAACGAACTTCGGATTGGATGGTAGCTGGTTTGTGCTCATTGCCTCTTATGTTAGGTTTACAAGTTTTCATTTCATTATTGCTTTGCGACTGGATTCATTCATTCGCTTACTTATTCATTCATTCATTTATTTATTTTCATTTTATTCATTCATATTTTCATTCATTCCATTCATCCATCCATTTATTTGCATTTTTTAAAAATTATTTTTCTATTACTATCATCGACTTTACTTTTTTAATAAAAAGTAAATTTAAATTACGATTGTCCATTCTGTAAATATGATTGTCTTCCATTGTAGCACTAATATGTCATTAAAAATGTTCGTTCATTCTTTTAGTTAAATTGTTAAGCGTATATATTCTAGGTCAAGTATTTATAACAATAATTTTTGATAATGTGATTCCTATAGATCATACCATACAATAATGCCGTCTTACTAGATCAAAGAAACTCTATTCGTGACGTATTTCTTTATAAATGGAACTGAAACTAATGACTTAAAATTTTAATGAGTTGAAATTGAAAATTTAAATTTTTTTTGTGAAAAATTGAAGAAAATTCGAAATAAATTGTAATTGAATTTGAAGGTAATTTTTTTTAGCTGAGTTTTTATTGTGGTTGGATATGTACAGCGACGATGTGATTGGACGTATGTATTCGGGAGTTGAACGAATGAACTGCTTATAATGGGAAAACTAATGGTTGAATGGATGAACCAATGAATGGATGGATGCACGAATGTATGGATGGATGGATTAATTTGTTGAATGCATATATTTTGCATAGTGGATAGATTGACGGGTGAATAAAATAGCAGTTGACAAATGATTTTATGGTATTGAGTAAACGAAGAAAAATTTAAATGATAGAACCAGATTTAAACATTCAGACAATTGAAATACTTGATTCAACAAACACACGCCATCGACAAGTGAATGTACGAATTGACGATTTGAATACATAACATTGAGAATTAAGTTGAAACATTGTGAAATGTCATAACATGGGTGCTCCGTATTCGAGCTGCAGAATTTTGATGGTGTGTGAGGTGGTTTGTAGCCTTGTACGTCGAAGTACAATTGTGGCAATAGAACGATAAAATTTAATATATAATGTAAAAAAAAATCCAACATCTAACTTTTAAACTAAGATAAATGTAAAGTGTTAAACATCTATTCTTTATATCGCGGTCTAAATAATATTTTAAGATATACATCTAAGAATAAACATATTGCCCGTAAATCGGCTTCATGGTCTGTTCATTTATTCAAGTTTTCTTATCAATTCGGTTGGCTAGCGGTTAATTTTTTGGTTGGACCTCGATGACAAAGGGTGTGGCTCTGTCTGGTTGTTCCCTGTTTACCTCATTCTGATTGTCCTTCCTGGCTGACTTCATCTTGCGCTCCTCCAACTTCTCCTTGATCTTCTGCTCCTGCTTCTCTTTGTCTGTCTGTTGTCTGTTCGATGGGTGTGGGTGGGTAGGGAGGAGAGTGCGGTGAGTATTGAATGCTGCTGCTGAGTTTAGAATGAGATGAATATAACGAAACGAAGATGGTGGTGTGAAAAAAGGGGGATACGATTTTGGCTGCTGTTTGTGATTATGTTGAAGATAAAAGGATTAAAAAATGAATGTGATAATTATAATTTAAATATTCATTCATTCCAACATCTACCCGTTGATCCATACATCTATACATACATACATCTATCCCCTATCCATAAATCTTTTGATTAACCCATTCATTTGATGATCCATCCATAACTCCATCCACCTTCCATTCATCCATCCATTCTTCCATCCATCCCTCCATTCATCCATCCACAACTTACAGTTCTTCGATCTTTGAGGCCTCTCTAATCATCTCGCTGGCTTTCATTTCAGTTTCTTGGTGCTTTGTGGCCATCTTGTTCATCTTCTCCTTCAGCATGGTGGCCTGCCTCTGCTTGTCCATCTCCAACTTGGACTGCTCCTTGCTCATTCGCATCATTATCTCATCTCTTTCCTGTTAACATTTAACTGTTAAGTGAACATTTAAAAAAAGTGAACATTTAAAACTGTGTGTGTTTAACATTATGTGCTTCTACAATGTCAGGAAGAATTGTGACTTTTGCCAGATATGAAGAAAGAAGGAACATTTTTACCACACCACAAAATTTATCAGAAAATAATCGTCTAAAACAAGCAAATTAAATTTCAAAATATTACAAATTACCAAGCAACTTTAAATACATCCCAGTACATCATTCACAGCCCATTAAACAATACATTAGAGGATTATTTACGTTGAATCTCTATAATGTCAACTATAGTCATTTTGCTAATGCATTAGAAGCCACGGTTAAAGATACATAATCTTCCAGAATCGAATCAAATGCTGTTTAGAAAGCTGAATTTTCATCGCTTAATCGAGCCAAAAACAAAAGGTTAGTAAAGAACCGCTTAACATCCTCCTGAAAGGTTGTCCAGCGACAAAAAGATTTCTGTCTTTTTCCTTTGTGTCAGATTTGAATTTTTTAAACACGTCGTTCTTAATAAAAAAATTAATATAAATTCTCATAAATGCACGATTACATCGGGTCTCTGGAGCAGGGCACTGCACTGTCTGCTCCCTAAAGTGTACTATTAATTGAATGCTCTGCTGTGCATTTTTGTGTAGAAAATTGTAAGGCAGCATTAATATTTATTTTAGTAGAATAATACAATTGAAGAGACGAACGAAGAAGGATTATGAATTCGAGTAAATTCGTCATCGCTAGTGAGATGCTGAGCGCATTAAAACTGAAACATCCATCAAATGTTGGATGAGAAAATATTTAAACATACCTACTCACTGACAGATGTTCATACAAAATTTCTATTGCATTACATTTTGGCTTTTACTGAAATATTATTTTTATATCTCTAAAGCAGCTTCGGTTTATCGGACCAGCCGCCGCTTAATCTGACCAATTCTGCCAAGTCCGATGTGGTCAGATAAAGCGACTTCTACTGAATTATCGCAAAATATAACTAACATGCTTCTTGTCATGCAATTAAACTCAGTGATTGGACACACACGCCGACACACGTGCACGCACAACATGCACTTGCACACCACACACACACACACACACACACACACACACACACACACACACACACACACATACACACAGATAGATAAATCCAACACACATTTAATTATTATTATCAAATATATCTACAACGGCCAGCACTGCACAATGAACATCACGAACATTGAACATGTACAGAACACAAACAATGTAGCACAATTAAAAGGTAGGCAGGCTCGTGTTATTGTCGGTCGTTTAGATGCACCTTTGAAGGCACCCGCGTCATCAGTCACCATGGCAACGATCGATTGTTGACATGTCTTTAAATAGACCCCATGCCATGTTATATAAATAGATTAAAACGTGCACAGGCTCAAACGCAAACAAGTATTTCATCTATATTAGGTACTATTATATTATAATATTATATTGTTTTTTGTTTTCTATTATCGTTTGCATGAAATGTTCTTTCATTCCTCGCGCACGGACGGAAGAAACGGGGAATGTTGGAATGGGAGGTACTGAGAATGATCATCCACTGGCGTGTTTATCGATTGCTTGCTACTTTTGTCTTTTAGATTCTATAGCTTGGAAACTTTTATCGATGCAATAGCAATATTTTACATTTTCAATGGTTCAAGAATTAATATTGTTTACTGAAAACAAATTGTTTAATTAATTTTTTGAAGTATTTCTTACTGACTCTGGATTGAAAATTATTTCAAAGTTATTATCAAGCTATTTGTTTTAGGCCACAAACTAATATGGTTTTTATATTATTTTGTACACGTGTCAAGTTTCAATATAACAGATTCGAGGGCATTCATTATATATCATTACATATTTTTTGGCCGATTTGGCACCTAAAAATAGTGTTCGCCTGAGTTTCACTGACTTTTGATAGAAACACTGCAGATTGCCAAACGACAGTTGATGTTACATAACTTTAACAGGGTATCATTAACATCATTCTGCGTCTCTACATTCAATTCGTTGTTATAAAACATTTGACATTTTTCGAATGGAAAAATTAAAATCTTCAAACAGGAAACTATGTAGTATGAAAATGAAGTTTAATTTTCAACATCTGCTAAAGATGTGTCAATTCTATCTAAAAAAAATTTCGGAAATCCCTCTTTGTCATGATAATGAGTTTTAATGTAAAATATTAAGACATGCAAGTTCAAGTATCTCAGAAGTAATCATATATTTGATGGCACGAACAGAAAGCCAACCTCTTTAAAGTCTTCATCTCTCAAAGTTCTTGCTGGCTCATTCGCTCTGCTGTCGCTGATGTCGAAAAGCTGCAGCGGTGTTGGAACGCGGTGGTTAGGATCTGTTTGCAAGTTGGTTGTTGCTCAGCATTAGTGTACCGTTCGCTATTTTATAATTTATATATATATATATATATATATATATATATATATATATATATGTTGGTAATAGACCATAATTTTTACAATATTCGGTAGAATTTATAGAATATTGTAAAAATATATATATATATATATATATATATATATATATATATATATATATATAAGTGTAAAGTACTTTATGTCAACAAAACTACTCAACCATTACAATTTTTTCAAAGTCGTTTTAAAACATCCTTTTAAAAAATAACTTAATGATGTTTATTTCGTACAAATGAACTATGTTTTAAAATATAAAACTTCAAAATAATTTGAATCAATTTTTTAGAGACATTGCATAGACCGATATAAATGATTACAGCGCACTGACCATGGTCAGCTTCAAGTCCTCTTGCACTGGCCGACCTGGCTGCAGACCTCGCCGACAACACGCGAAAAACTTCCTGCTCCAGAGGCACTAGATTGCCGGCACCTCCTGCTGACTTCTGCCGGTGTCTCGCTGAGATTGTTCCCTGGCGCTGTTTCTCTTTCTTTGCTGAGGCCTGCCTCTCGTCAGCTTTCAGTTCATATGTTAGTTTTGTTGACAGATTGAATTGTATTTTTTCATTTATTTATTTGTCAAAAAATAGAAACTATTCATAAAGGCCTTTTTAAATGATTTTCAAATAAAAAATGAGATCCTGTTAATGGGTGCACAATATAATTTTTGAATATGAGGAACTGAAACAGTTTTTGCAAACTCTGGTTTTGGAGAACATTTTTATAGTTCTATCAAATTTAATACTACTTCCATTGAGCGGTAGAAGCGTGACGCTTTTTAAGCAAAATAAAACCGTGCAACTCGTTACTTTTGAATTAAAAGTAAATTGAAAGTAATTTTTAAATAAACACCTCAGTTACATAGACCATCTGCAGCAGTAACTCAAGTGAATAACTTTAAAGTACAATCCTTTCAACTCTTAATGACTGATAATTAATGCGGAGTGACTGAACTGACTGAAAGAGCACTGGCGTGACAGTAGTAATTAATAGTTATTATTCAAAGATTTTTCGAACACACGATTCATTTTTCTAAATCATTTGATCGCCTTTTTGTCGTTCTTTGTATGTTTCCTAGCAACTCGAGTGATTCATGTTTCGATATTCCCGTTTGTGGTCTGTTAGCTTGCACTCAGTCTGTGAGGAAGAGTTAATTAATCAGCCTCTGGAACCAATGCTTAATGACGAACGTTGCAAATTAAGATGTTCGTGTGTTCTTCTGAATGCTAATTGAGCCGTTGCGAGTGTAAATTTCCTGTCTGCATTCATAATACACAGAGCATTCTATGCCACTTCGCAACAGTTGCTTCTTGTTATTATTTGCAAATGAGCTAGAACAATAATTAATTTTAATGGGCTAAATTAACTAAATCGGATCTGGCAAGAATTAAATGTATTAAAAAACTTTGATTTCGCAATTTTTTTGAAAATATTTGTAAAATATTATTGATTTAATTTTTCATGTAAACAGGGCTAATGGTGTTGTATTATATTTTCAACGTTAAAAAACAATTTTGTCAAATCGAGTAGAATTTTAATGGGCTAAATTAACTAAATCGGATCTGGCAAGAATTAAATGTATTAAAAAACTTTGATTTCGCAATTTTTTTGAAAATATTTGTAAAATATTATTGATTTAATTTTTCATGTAAACAGGGCTAATGGTGTTGTATTATATTTTCAACGTTAAAAAACAATTTTGTCAAATCGAGTAGAATTTTAATGGGCTAAATTAACTAAATCGGATCTGGCAAGAATTAAATGTATTAAAAAACTTTGATTTCGCAATTTTTTTGAAAATATTTGTAAAATATTATTGATTTAATTTTTCATGTAAACAGGGCTAATGGTGTTGTATTGTATTTTCAACGTTAAAAAACAATTTTGTCAAATCGAGTAGAACGTAAGTACGAACTTAATTTTTTGGAGGTTAGTGAGAGGACCTGCTGTTCATCTTTCAACTCCTCGTTCGTCAGTTTCAGGGATCTGTGAGGAAGATTAAAAAAAAGTATGCCAACTCTTCAACATTTTACGAGACATTTCTTATTTTGCTTAAAAGTTAGACAATGCATTCAATTCAGCATTTGGTAATTCAGTCAGCAAATAACAAGATAAGAAATAAAAAAATCGCATATATCAATTTATAAACCAGCAAAAAACAAACAAGCTGAAGAGTTTTTTTAATTCTTGAAAGAATCAGACTCTGGCAGTCTGTTACAACATGCAAAGTGACAATGCAACGAAATGAAAGCAGTGTACATGGGCGAACCTCCTGGCGTCGGCAATGAATGCAATCATTGTCGTTTCTTCCTGCTTATACAGTCCATCAACCATCCCATACAAGTTGCTCTGTCAGATATTAACACGTTCATTAAATGTTGCTATTTGAAACTGATTAGATGAGTCACATTTATTATTATGATAGACAAAACTTAATATTACTAAGTGGAATTACTTCGATACTGCAGCCACATAAAAACAGAGATGTTGTTTTTTTTTAATAAAAATGATTTAAATCGTCATCGGTGTATAAATACATGGTAAGTAAGCTACACAGCTGATGACGGTGAAAATGTTTAGTTTGACGGTGGCCAGGTTTTAAAGCAAAGAAATCCCCACCAATTATTCAAGCAGTTCTTACGTACGATGTGTGTGTGTGTCGCGGCAAATGTTACGCTATTCAATCGAGTAATGAATTTTCTAATAATAATGAATGAATTTTTAAATGATTTAAACATTAATTTTCCACTTTACTAAAACTTGAAAAGTTATTTTGCCGTACTTTGAAACGATGAAAAGATATCTTATGTTATAATATGGCAATAACTATGAATTCATCCTTAAAATTAAACTGCATAACTAAGTATGCGCCCAAAGTTGCATATATTTTAAATATACTTGTATAATTTACTCTACTTTAGTATACTTTAATTTTACTACATACTGAGCGGCACGATGGTGTAACGGTAAAGTGCCTGGCACTGCTACTGAAGTGACCAGACCAAAAAGATTCCCACCCCACACACGCAATGTGTGTGATGCGTTGTTCCACGTGTATTTACACGCACTGCGTGCTTGTTGCTGGTGCTTCTGAAAAATATTGCAGAGAGAGTTGTAACAGACAGACAGACAGACAGATACATGGATGAATAAACAAGTAGAATTTTTGATGTTTTAAATGAAATTCTTACAAATACAAATCAATGGGAGATAATTTAAAGAAAACTCAACAACTCCTGGAAATGATTTATTAACAAAAAGTATCCACCTGTATAGAAACGGGCAGTTTGGTCATCTTCCTCTCGATGACGTCATCCATCTTGCAGCAGTTACAAATTTTTCTAAAAATTCTAGCAGATATTTTGTAAGATGGCTGTACTACCAGAAGATATTTGTAGTTTATATTTTATTATATTAATTTTTTAAAAATTATATTATACCAGAGGAATTTATTTTCCAATTTATTTATTATGATCAAGGAGATTTGAATGACAATAAATAGTTTACGCAAACATAATATTTATATTTATTTTTTTTCATTTATTTACGTTCATTATACCAAAAAATCGTCGTTTGATAACAATAACAGTGAAGAGTAATGTTACCGGTGTATTATAATTATGTATTAAATATTAATATATTGTATTACGGATGAATATGTGTTAATACGTAAGTATAAGTATAGTTAAATATGCGTAACATTCATGTACAGTGAGAAGAAAAATAATTTATAACACTCGCTTTGAAAACTCACTGCATGTTAACATGATGACAATAAACTTAATGAATTACTATAGGTACATTTATTTCCAACGCATCTAGGAATGCTTAAATGCTTTGATATATACGCATAAATATATATAAATATATATAAATATATATAAATATATAAAAATATATAAAAATATATAAAAATATATATAAATATATATAAATATATATAAATATATATATACATATATATATATAAATATATATATACATATGTATATTTTTTGTTGTGTATTTTTGCACTTGGATATGTAACAGTTAACAGTTGATATTTGGCTAATGGTTGATCGTTGATGATTATTATCAATTGATGATTATTATTATTATTTTAAAAATGATTTGTTTTAAGACAGATTCGTCCGTTATGTAATTGGTATTAATATGATTCCTATAATAATAAATGATGTCTCTATATAAATTGAATGAACTATCTCCAAAAAAATTCATAGCATGATTAATCTGATTTTTTACATTCTACAAATTGCAAGAATACAAAATGCAAACACACTCACACACACACACCACACACACACACCACACAAACACACACACACTACACAAACGCACACACACACACAAACACACACACACACGTACATGATAGACCCCAGTACTTGCACATATAGTCACCTTCATTGACTTAGGCAGATAATCTTCCACGCTCTTTTGTTTGCAGCGGTTGCTAGGCAGCGCTACACGAGACAAAAAGATCATTAACAAGATCTGCAAACATAAAAACGCCTGATTGGCTAAAAATCATTGATTTTTTTATGTTTTCGTTTGTTCATTAATTTATTAATTAATTTTTCACAAAGTAGTTTACAAAAGGACAACATACAAAACTATTTTGAACTGCAACATCTCATCAGTTTAAATTATTTCAAGAAGTCAAAAATTAAAGACGACAAATTATTTTTCTTTATATTTTGTAAACCTCATATAAAAATCATTCCTGTTGTGATTCATAAGATATGTTTTATGATTAAATCAAGAATAAAATTGTAATTAATGTTGTAGTAAGGCTTTTGAGTTGGTTGTCTCGTCAATGGTGTTGGCTGGTTGTGCTGGCTGGGCAGATTTGGTTGATGCTGTTGTTCCGTTTGATGTGGTTGTTATAATATTTAAATTACTTATAAAATGTTAACTTCATAAATGTACAACTAAATGCCACGTATTAACTGCGGTAATAATAAAATAACATCAGGCTCATTCCATACACTCATGTTCCAAGTTAACGAGATGAAAACTTCAATTGTTTCAACATTGTCAGTGCTAAAACCCTTAAATATTCGCAACACACATATTCCTGGTGCCTATGATGCATGTGCAAAGATACAAAGCTTAAGAGGTTTTGTGACAAATAATCTTGTATTTGCAAGCAAACAAATAAAGATATTCATGTCAACATTTCTATCCGTACTTAAAATTAAAATATTTATATTACATTGCTGACTGTTTTAGAAAGTTTTAAGTTATTTATATTGACTTATTAGTCTTTAGTTTATCAAATTTATTCATTTTTTTGTGCGAGCGTAGTTACGATATAGGTATATCGTGTGGGTATAATTTTGTGTGTGCGTAATGGGCTTGCGTTTTGTTTAACGAGTGTTGCGTGAGGCTTTGACGGTGTGTGGATGTGTATGTGGTTTGTACGCATTTAGTCATACACGTCCGTTTCCAAAGGGTGGATATGAATATTTATATAAGCTTGTTTACTGCAGTTTTATGTGTTAAACTGTTATTATTAAATTAATTAATTAATACTTTTCATAATTACCTCATTTTTATAATAAATGTTTCGATAACTTTTCTTACGTTAGTAGGCCTACTCATTAGTCAATCTGGCTTAGAAGAACATTAAAATTATTAGCCATGAAGATGGGCGCATGATTTTTTAGCGGTCGTTAATTCCTTTTAACGTTTAGTTATGTTTTAAGAGAAATAAATTGAAAATAAAAATAATAATAGAATAATAAAAATAATCTTCAACAAATCATTTCGTTTCACAGCCATATTTCATAGTTGAGAGATGAACTTCAAAAGATAGACGCCCGAGCTTAAACCGACAGGCGAAAAGATCGGATGATGATCAATAGAGTAGCCGCCAACTTCTTCCAGGGATTTTTGCTTTTCTCAACAATCCTGCCTCTGCTGACACACTCCTTGTTCAAGCAGACCTGTTTTACGAGCGTTGAAACATTTCTCGAGTTAATCAAATATATTTAATTTCATTGATTTAGTATAAAAATTGAAAATATTATTCGAGATCTAAAAATAAATTAATAAATCTGTTCAGACAAATCATGCTCGACTGATTCAAAATAAAATTTCAATTAAAAGTAATTGAGCGCCACCTTGTTGCGGCCACACTTGGCGCCATCTTGAACGAACGCTGGATTGTAGGCTCCCTCGTTGACGTTTATTTCCGCGCACACGCACCCCAAGCCGTAATACAGAATGGTGTGCCTGCGCCGATGCTCCTCATGGTTCCTCAAGTCACACAGCAGTCGACCGCAGAGAACGTCTCTGAGTCGATGTGTATGTTCCCATTAACAGCAAATAAAATAGACAATGAAAGGAATATTGAAAAACTTTTTGTAAATATTCAGATACAATAGAGCACAATAAGATATGACATCATATAATAGGATGTAATAAGAGATGACATCCTCCAATTGGATATAATCGGATAAGAGATGATACAAAATGATATGGAGAAATGAGCTTTTTTCATTTAATAAATTGTAAAAACAGTTTTCTTATTGAAATATTCTTTCTACATTTTAACTTTATAAAATTTTTCAAAATAAAAAAAATAAATTATCCTATTGTTATAACCGCCGGAATGATCAAAATGCGCTCTATTATTTGATTATTGCTATCTTTGCTATATTTATAACCTTTGGATGGAGAATTGTAAAAGAATATTAAATCTATGCTAAAAATCTCTGCTATATATATGTCCTGTGTAGTCAGATTTTACAGTCATGTTTCCAGCAGAGAAAGCAAGCAATGTGATAATATGTAGTTTATTGGATTAGTTCATTATTTTTATTACTGTTAGTATTCAAACGTTGAACAAAGTTTGCGTTTGACGCATTTGTGTTCATCTATCAGAAATTTTGAACCTACGGAATAACGAACACTTGACGATCGTTGGAAGCTACAACACTGGTGTTGAAAATATAGAGATCTTTGAAGTTATAACATTGGTGTTGGTAGTAACGAGAGTTAAGGGTTACAATAATATACCGCCAGCAAGTAATCAAACTTTGCTTATAAGCAATGGCGGATCCATATGAGGGCCTAAAACAATGGTTTTATTAAAAATCAGTGAAACCCAGTTTTTAAACAAAAAAAAACAAAAAAACATTTTAAGAACAAAACCGGGAAATATTATGTTCATTTTTTGACCCGCCGTCAAATTTCTAAATTTCTGCCCCTCCCCCCGTCAACATTTTCTAAATCTGCCACTGGTCGTGAGGATTAAAAAATTAAGACAAATTGCACGATGGTGTGGGGTTATGATTGGGGTTGAATGCAAATGGAATGGCCTCCAATCACTTGAAGTGTATGGGACGGTTTCACATACACTTGGGTACTCTAAGAGATATTGAAGAACGAATAAATAAATAAAATAAATTAAAGATGTGAAATTCAATTTTTATATCGTTCATTCGCTCTAATAACATTAACAATATTCTAAAAACCAGATCAATATAAACATAAAATGATAAAGTTTTGTAGAAATTTCAGAAATTAGAACCTATTTAATAATATGGTTAAATCATAACAATTAGTAGCTACAATTTTATATAGAGAAGTGATATTTCTTCTGCATTCTCAATGAAATTTTCATCAGTTTATGTCGTGTAGGTTATTATTATATTTAAATCTTTAAAAATTTTGGTTTGCGCATAGGTAGCAAACTTTTTATTGCAAGCGATTAGTTCATTGGTGACCAGTTTATAATCGCAATGGAAGCAAGTTGTGGCTTCTTCGTTATGACCATAACACTCTTCATTGGCAGACCTGAGGTTTTCAATGCCCCACAATGAGCTACACATCTTATCTCTGGTCTGACATTGACCATTGTAGCAGAAGTGACTATCCTGTTGTAGATTGTGATTTGTTACAAAATAGAACAATTTAGAACAATTTCAAGTTTTGTAAAACAATTTCAAGTTTTGTGTTTGAAAAAATAAAAGTTTGATCCTTGAAATACTAGCATTTTTTTCTAGCACTAATTACCATTTGGGTCTGTTGGAACCCATTCATTTTTGCATTAAATATCTCATCCAAAAATCTGTTTATTTGTTTAATTTTAACAAATGCAAATATACAAAAGGTATTCAACTGTTACTTATATTGGCAAACTAGTAAAGAAATGTCACCAGTGATATTCTTAGGATATTACTATCGAAATGGACACCTACTATTGATTGCTACCAACTGTTCACCTGCAGTTATACATAATATCCTGAGTTGAATGCCTCATTTTTCAAACTGGAGTTCTGCAACTAAAATACTTTTTTTTATGGAATGCAATTTTTCTGAACTTCTATGTTTTCTGTGCATATAAGCATCGTCGAATTTCATTACTCTCAAGTAAGTTATGATCAAAAATGTCAAAAGCCTTTGTGAGGTCAATAAATATACCCATGGTCAAATGTCTAACTGTCCATTTCAGGACTACCCAAATGCAAACTTCATTCAATTACCTGCTGCACGTTTGTTTTTCGTCAACCGATCAATCATTTTCATCACATTCTTCACCTGCACTTTTTCAATCAATTACTTCATCTAGCTCATCGTCATCAAACAAATGACGAAGCCTATCCATTTTCATCCCCCAACATTCCCCACTTACACCTCTCAACATTTTACTTCTCGTTTGTGATAACGAAAACCATGAAATAATTTTACAAAGCTTGTTAAAATATTGCTAAAATTCGGCAGCAAATTGTACAAAACAATATATAAAACTCATATAAAACACGAGTAGTATACCGTGGGGTCCTATAGACTCCACTGAAATTGAAATGAAAATGAAATTCTAGCACCGATTACAATCAAACTTGTTCCAAATTAATAATATAATATAATGATGAGCAAGAAATATATAAAAATATTTATAAAGGCATCATTTTTTGATGATAATTTAAAAGCCCTAAATTTTTTCTCCGTTTTTTTTTCAAAAGTTGATAAACCGAGAAGTACAAACTTACAGCGCAGAGGATTCCATTAGGCTTAACGACGTCCACGCAGAAGTTGGACTCTCCGTCACATTTATCCTCAATATCGCAGTCATGTTGTGACGGCCTGCAAACTTTATCCTTGGCCTTAAGCTGGAATGAAATAAAATTTTCATGTTATTTGACTCCAATAGTTTACTTATAGAAATTTTTTTGTGGTTATATGCAAACAAAAATGGTTTTGTTAAGAATAGCTGTTGTAAAATGCCAAAAAAATTTATATTTAGAAACAAATAAAAGTAATCAATGGTTAAACTTGGAACAACAATTTTAAAGATTAACTTAGCTGACAGATTATTACATTGTTTGGCATTCCTCCACAGTCACAATCTTCCCCTGCTGCCACCAATCCATCTCCACACACCAACTTGTTGTTCCTAAACTCAGCAGGTTCAAAAAGGCATAAATACCAATTGTAAACATTATTCAAAACTTTAATTGAACAGGTTGACCAGGTAACTGGAAGTTCATTTTCAAACCTGAAAAATTTATGAAAATCAAAATTACGTAAATTTTTATTTTTAAATTTGACCTATGTCATGAGCAAATTTTCTAATTATATCTTGCTTACCAAAATTTAATCAAAAAATTAAAACTGATAATCACATTGACTGCACATTTGCTCACTAGGAAAGATTTGAAATTTTTAATTACCTGAAATCTTCTATTCAAAAGCTCATCGCCAAAATGATAAGAATAACAATTAAGGACATATTTGTCCAAAATCGTCATTCCTAACTGGAAATTGGAAAATCTGGCTTGCCTACTGTTACACTTGAACCCGTAAAGTTATTATTATTATTATTATCATCACCATCATCCTAATCATTATTAATAGAAAGAGAAAAGATGAAAGGAAAACCCACAAAAAGATGGTTAGATAGTGAAGAGTGGAATAGAGAAAATATATGGATGGCAAGAACGCACACCAAGTCAAAACATGGTTTCTGGTAAAATAAATGTTCCTATCGACCTCCGCAGGTCTTCGGATTATAAGAAACATTGGATGGGTGGTACCAACAAATGTTCACAAAAAGTGGATGGCTGGATGTTTATTGCAATACTAAATAAATTTTTCGATTAGAGTTTCAACAAATGTAGACTCTAGTGTGCGGACCCAACAATTGATCGCAGTCTTATTACAGTTGGAATAAAAAATTATATTGAGTTAGACTAGATTTGCATATTCTGCACTTCAAATTAGCTATTAATATTTATAAAACGTGTGAACAGTTTATTTTAAACAAATTAGAGCCAATAATATAACAAGTATCATGTTTGAAAATTAGAACTACAATTAGCAAACTTACGTAATAACTTCGTTCATGACGCACGGTTCTTTGTCACGGTGGCAATCAGCATAGTCTTGGTCGTGCATTAAACTCAAAGCCAGTCAAATGTAATCACGATGATTTCAACCTTGAAAAAGAATTAAGTACAAAGAAGCCAGCGCAGCTGTTTGCCCAAAAGTTGCCCAAAAGTTTGCCCACCCCTGCGTAGCGCAATTACTGCTATGGTGTGAAAACCAATTTCTCGATGATATTCGCTATTGCATTATCTTTATTTGAATTTATATTATTACCGACACCTAGTGTTTCTTTTAAAAACTGAAATTTCAAATTGAATTGAAGCAGTCTTAATCCTATATATATATATATATATGTGTGTGTGTGTGTGTGTGTGTGTGTGTGTGTGTGTGTGTGTGCGTGCGTGTGTGTGTCTTAAGCACCTGTTTCTTTCTTTTGAAGGTGAGAGCTGCAGTTGACGAGTTCTTCGTACATGATGCTCTTTTTTTTCTTAGCAGAGGTCAACTGTTGTTGAAATGCAATTTTTATTTATTTATTTATTTAAAGGATAACCAAAAAAGATAAACTTGTGGATAGGCCACCCTTAACTAAGAATTCCGACTGTAAATGTAACAGAAATGTCAAATAAATACATACACACATTTGATTTGATCCACTAGAGTATTTTTAGCTTCTAACAACGTTTTTATTTTCATGAATATTGTTATAAAGCTGTTTGCATGCCTGTAATACCGTTAGATGTGTTTTAATAGTGAAACAATTTATGTGACGAATGCGAAAATTAAAACATTGGAAAAACATCAGTATGTATATATATATATATATATATATATATATATATATATATATACACACACACAAACACTTATATATATATATATATATCGGTTTATATCGACATATCGATTTAATTACCGACATCCATTTATCGGGTATGGAGGATAGATACCAGGATGAATGAGTATACTATAACTAAAAAAACGTCAAATCGTTAACTTAGTTTGAACCAAAAAGATTTATAAAACATGAACGGTAGAGCCAGTAAATTTGAACCAGTCACGATTAGATTTCATACTATTATATAATATATACTCATTTACTCAGGCTTACAATATATGTTGGGAACGACCAGTTAAAACTATCATACCCGTTCAGGCTCTAACATGTGCTCGCACACGCAGGCTTCAACTGAAACTTTAGGTACGGCGCATGATAAAAAACAAAAATATTATTTCTAGCGCTTCATTCATTGAACTAATTTTTTAAACCTTCCTTACAAATAGGGAGTGAAAGGAAACACTTGATCAGAACGTTGAGTTGGAAGCAATTGAGTCATTACACTGTTTTAAGGATGTGTAAACGATCGCCGGCTGGAGTCTACCAGCGTTTGTTATTTGTGGATGTGTGATTTCGTTGCTTCTCTAGCTTCTAGCGCATATGGAAATGTGGAGAGATGCACTTCCAGTTTAAAATTCCATATCTTTATTACTTTTAAGCACAGTGTTTAGTTTTTAATATTATTAACGTAACCGCACAAATAACAAATCACAAATAAACGAATATCTATTTTACATAAAGTTTCCGCTTTTATCCATCAATTTAATAGGCTGAAAATATAATTTGTGGCATTACTTAATTATGATTGAATTTATGCGAAATCGTCACGTTAAATATTTCACACATTGTCTGAAGATGTTGCTACCCTCCAGTTGTTCATCGTTGGACACCAACAGGTTGCTTTACTTTTTTATTACTTGTATCTATAAAATAAATAGTATAATTATAATAATAATAAGTATAATAATAAATAATTATAAGTATAATTGTATAAATATTATAGTTGTATAAATATTAAATGAAGGTATGGTCATATTATAATCTATAATGTATCTAATATTCTAATCCTAATGGCTAATGATTAGCATTAGTTAGATTATTCTAATAGATTCTAATTTAGTAAGTTAGAAAAACAAAGACTAACCATTTTAGTTAGATTAAGATTAGAGGCTTAGGGCGTAACATAAAGTAATTTTAACTAAACATAAGTATTATATATATATATATATATATATATATATATATATATATTTACTTTCATATACATGTATTTATTTGTATAAATGTATATATGTAAATAAACTTTTCATTATAGCATTTTATCTAGTGTCCAGTTAACTTAATCTAATTGTTGTAATTAGCCTTTCTACATCACTGATGTAATAAGTTGTGCACATGTTTCTGTCATCATGCAGGTTGACGTTGGGCTTCTTCAGCATATCAGGGTTGGATGTGATGGGTGAGTTGGATGTTGTTCTGACAAAGATACAAAAAGATGAATTGATTGATTGGATTTATTCACATCAAATCCAACTTAATTCTGATGGTTTAGTTCATTCGTTGGATTATTCAATTCATCCGTTTTTTATTTTTTGTTTGTTAATTTGCAAGTGTCACTAAATTAATGTACTAGTGTGACGTGATTATGTCAAAAGCACTAAGTGTTGTGCCTGAAAAGTTTACAGACAATTCATGCAAACATTTTGTTGACTAAATGTTACTCAATGGCATGGATCTAAACACCATCTTCATCATCATTGTGTCAGGTTCAAATGCCAACCTGGTTGGATTCAGAGGTTCATCTGCCAGTGGTTCTGTCCAGGTTTGCCCATTAAGTTCATTGTTCTTTGATTTATTACATTTTTATAATTGACTCCATAATGTATTTGTAGCATGGTCATTATTATAGTCATCATCATCATATCTCTTCTTCGCCATCTTTTTTATATTTATCATCATTATTTATATTGCTATCTTCATCTACATTACCTAGAATGTTCTATCTTTCTCGAGTCCAATCTCCAACACAGGAAATCTTACATGTTCTCGTAATGTTGGTCCTTCTGTCTCCAAATTCTGTAACCCTAACCCTAACCCTAACCCATCATCATTCATTTCTTGACAGCCTACGTTTCCTCATGTACAAATTGAATATATATACTTGCAATTAGTATGGCCACTAATGTTGGCTGGTGTTTGTTTGGCACATGAAGGCTAATTCTAACAAACATCCGTGAACCAAAGTGGATTTTGATGTTGTTGCTTGAATGAGTTAAGCTTACATTTGCATAATTAAAGAATTTAGTCTTTAAAACATATAAAATTAAGCATAATTTTCAAAACTTCAGAATGATATGAACCACATTGCCATGACCTACTCAGCCCTCCTCTCCCTCCTCATTCTGGGGGATGACCTTGGGAGAGTCAACAAGTCTAACGTCATTTGGGCACTGAGAAGTCTGCAGTTGCAGGATGGCAGGTTGTTGATGATGACGGTGATGATGATGGTGATGATGACAACGATGATGATGGTGATGATGATAGTGATGATGATGGTGATGATGATAGTGATGATGATGGTGATGATGAATTATCTGTTCTATCTAAAATCGTTTCTTTCTAGCTTTCCGAAATCGGTTTCTATTTTTTACAACTTATATTGAGTTCAATGCTGGTACTCCAGTGCATTTTGTAGTTTTATCCACGCATTAATTTCTTGGCTAGTTCTCCAATTTTCCTCTTCCTGTTTCTCTCCCTCATTGGTACAACTTCACATAACCTGCAATTTGGCGTTACGCTAATTTAACCAAATTGTTACAATTTTTTGCATTGGACATTTTGTTTATACTCTTTTTTCATTTCCGATCTGCTTTCTTCCGTCTCCAGCTGGTGGCCAATAATGTCCTGCCTCACTCCTGTTTAGAAGGTTTCAATCTTTCTGTCACTTCTATTTTGATGCTTCCAACCTCACTTCCTACCTTCTTTTTGCGTGCATGTCTGCGGGATCTGAACAGCAAACAGTGATGACGATGCAAATTATGATAACGTTGATTTGACAGTTATGATGAGGATGGTGATGATGATAGCAATTAAAGATAAATGGGTAGGAGGAGATAGTTAGATGGAAACTCATATTGCCCCTCTCCTTAGTTTCTTGGCAACACACGAAGGCTCCGAATCAGACATGCGCTTCATATACTGCGCGTCAATCATTTGCTACGTGCTTGCTGATTGGTCCGGTATGGATGTCCACGCCTCCGTAGATTTTATAAGAAAGAGTCTGGTTGGTTGGGCGGTTGGATGATTGGTTGGTTGATTGATTGATTGTTTACCAAATTTATCTTTCATTTAACCGTGCATTTAACTAATCTTTCATCCAATCATTTATCCAATCATTCATCCAATCCCTCATCTAATCGCTCATCCAATCATTAGTCCAATCATTCATCCAATCTTTCATCCAATCCAATATCCAATCATTCATCCAACCTTTCATCCAATCATTCTTCCTATCTTTCATCCAATCATTCATCCAAGCATTCAATCATAGTTCATCCAATTATTTGACCATTGTTCATATTCATCCAATCAATCATCTGTTGTTTATTACAGACGTATGAAGGAGCATTTGCACAAAGTCCAGGATTAGAAGCACATGGTTGTTGTTTTAATTGATTAGTTGTTTGGTTGATTGATTAGTTTATTGATCAGTTGTTTGTTTATTTGTTTAATTGATCGGTGGTTTTTTATTTGGTTGGCTGATTGAGTGAATGTCTGTAGAATAAAGTTTTTCCAAAAACCCAGGTAGATTACGAGTTGCTCGTCTTAGTCAGTTGAATGATCTCACGGTTAATTTATCGAACTACATCTTAAATAATCACATCAGGTGGCAGTACATACTGCGCCGTGGCCTCTCTTGTTTTAATGAACAGACTCTCAACTACTCTGTCCTCCAAAGAAATTAAAAGGCAAGTGCACTCGTAAATATTCATTACGTCATCAAGTACATTCATAAATATTCATGACGTCATTAAGTACACTCATGAATATTCATGACGTCATCAATCACATTCGTAAATATTCAGTGTTTTTCTGCCTCAACCTCATGAACATGCCGTTATTATTCCAGTTTCAAAGTGATTTAATCAAAAACTTCAGAGAAACTGCGTTGATTGTCAGCGGATGTTTTAACAGCACCATGTTGAAGACAGCAGATGATAATTAGTTGATGTGCGTGGATGTCTTGTGCATTTTTTGTCGATGAGGCGCAGTTTTTTTAGAAGTAGATTGAAAAACGTCGCTTTGCAAAATAGAGAATTGTCATCGTCATCATCATCATCGTCGTCATAACCATTTCTTTCAAAACCATCGTCATTGTCAACATCATCACTACGATCATGTTGTTGCTGTTGTTGTTGTTGCTGTTGTTGTTGCTGTTGATCTTTGTTGTTGTTGTTAATGGTGATGATGATGAGCAGATTGTTGCAGTGGTGCATGTTCAGGCAGGAGTCAGGCTTCCAGGGGCGGCCCAACAAGCCAGTGGACACCTGCTACTCCTTCTGGGTCGGAGCCACTCTTAAGGTGGGATGTCGTGCTGCTGGTGGTAATGATGATGATTGGTATGATTAGGTATGCGAACGATATATCGAAATTTACGAATTTCGATATCGATATTTTTATGAACGATATGCTGATAGTCCAATTCTCAAAAACATCAGCGAAAAATTCTTGGTCCGTTGAACCGGTGTCTCATGGAACAATAAAACGAGCCTTAAACTGGCCATTGAACTTTAGACATATTCAAATCAATTAAGTAATTGAAACAGTTATAAATTTCTCAGCTGGCGATGGCGGCAGATCAAACAATGGTTGGCAAGTTTTACTTTAGGATATAGAATTCTTTGTTTTTAATGGATTCTTTTTATTGAAATAATGGAATGAAATTAAAATTTTTGAAAAAAATAGCATTAAATTAAAACATTCAGTCGGCGTTGGTTGTAAATGCTGTTAAGTAGATGCTCAGTTCATGTTGACGCTTGTTGCGTGGATGGCGGTTCAGATATAAAAAGGATGTATTCACTGGTTAATATTGCATTTACATTTGAAGCTGTTGGGAATCTTTGATCGCTTGCTAGTTGTCAGTGTACAAAATTCGTTAAATTATGTGCTACAAAATTGGTGATAACTTAAATTGATGACTAACTCAAATTTACTATCACGATAATTATCGCGATAATTTAAAACGTTTTCCTGTTAAAAAATAATTCGAACACAAACTCGGATTGTAAGATTCCTTATTTACGAACGATAATACAATGTCGTCAAAAGTTATGTTGAAAACTATTGAGTTAAATTGTGTGCGAGTTCTAGCGTCAAGTATCGTCTGTCCTGTCATTATCTCCGCGATTGAAACTAACCATGTGTTGGATTAGTTGCCTTGATTAATTTTCGGGTTACGAAAAACCTTTGTCTATATGCGTCTTCATAATTAATTGTGCTTTGCGCGTGTATCTACTTTATTGCTTTAATGACCATTGTATATGTTGGAAGTATTAGTAAGCATGCATGTATGTGTATTTCTTCCTGTGAGTATGTGTATCGATTGCTTGATATATTGATGCAACGTATGATCAGCTCTACATACATTAAACAAAATTAAATTAAAAAGTCTCACAAAAGAAATATCGAGAGTTTTAAAATTGAAACATTCAAATAATGTTGATTGTGAAGATGGATAAAATGAAGTCTCTCTACTTTGCTGCATGCTGAAGCATGATTGAGTCGGCGATTGGACTTTGTTGTCGTAATTTTAGACGACTAACAACAGGGTTGCACAGATTTTTTAGATTTATCAGCAAACTTTTTGTGGTACCAGCATATTTCAATGTATGAAGACTCCGCGTCAAACCTCGAAACGGTCAATTTTTTTGTCTTGTTATCAAAAGCCATACAATTGATTGGTTTTGGGAAGAAGTCGAAGAACTCTACGTGATGTAGTTTGTAAACAGCCGGAGCCGACATTTTTTTCTGATTTGTTATATTTCATTGTTAACAAAGAAACACGTGTTCCAAATATTTTTTACAGAAGTACCGCCTATCTCTACTTTAATTGTTAACAAATAAACACGTGTTCAAACAAGATTATCCACTAATCAAACATACAGCCAACAAGAACGGTGAAATGAATAGAACTGTTGTTCTTATTCTCCCTTTGTTTTTATTTTAGAGGGTTATATCTTAACGCGTACGATGCTAACTTGAGTTGAGCTGTTAAACACAAACGTTAGGGTAGAACCGCTTTTATTCAATGAAATCGTGTCAAGTCTGCTTTATCTACACCAGTGTTTCGAGATTATTAAAATCTCTCATCAGGAATTAGCAGACTATTTGTAGTTGTAGTAATCCCCCCGTAGTTCGTACCCAGTAGTTTTAAGTAATTAAATAAAAATGAAGAATATCAAATAAAAAACGAAAAATATCAATATAAAAATTATCAAATTTGCAGGTAAAAGAGGTAAACAATAAAAGTAAATAAAAAAATTATATGTGCTATGAGAACAACTTTAACGAATAAGAAAACACGTCAAAAGAGGTTTAAAATTGAAACATTCAAATAATGTTCACTATGGAGATAGATAAAATGAACATTATTAAAATAATATTGACTATCAAAGAACAAGCGTGTTTGTTGTTATTGCATGTCGAGACTTGTTAGCTGGTCTTCGATCTCTCTACTTTGTTGCTTGCTGCAGCATGATTGAGTCGGCGATTGGATTTTTTGCGGTTGGTTGTTGTCGTAGTTTTAGACGACTAACAGCAGGGTTGCACACATTTTTTAGATTTATCGGCAAACTTTTTGTTGTACCAGCACATGTTTTTGAAATGTCAAACAATTTTATTGTGTGACACGTTTCGTTCACAACTTCCAAAAACTTGTTCGGAAAGTTTTGGTACGGCGTGTGAGACTTTTTATCATTGCAATCATGCAGCTGGTTGGCAACAGCTGCTAATCGTTGCCGGGAGTCCTGCAATAGTTGACTTTGTTGAATGTTCAGCCTACTTTTTAACGAAGGAAAATATTTATTGATTAAATCCTCCTTCAGTGCATTGTACGTAGTCGTGAAGACGATCTCTTCCTCCATTTCTTCGATCGTCTCCAACGAAAGACTTTCTAACAAGAGTTAGTAGAAAACGTAGATGGGGTCGCCGATTGGAATTTTTGTGGCTTGTTGCCGTAATCTTGAAGAACAATTGCACGGTTGCACGCATTTTTTAGACTTTTCAGCAAACCTCTTGCGGTACCAGCAAATATTTTTGAGAACAGCTGCTAATTGTTGCAGTGAGTCGTTCAACGATTCTGCACTAGTTTTCTATGTTGAATGTTCCACCCACTTTTTTAAATCCTCCTTGTACGCATTGTACGTAGTTGTGGAGACGATCTCATCCTCTATTTCTTCGATCGTCTCCAACGAAAAACTTTCCAACTTGAGTTGGTAGAAAACATTTCAGTCGCTGAATTCCCGATATCGTACAACGCTCTCAAAATATATGGACCACGCCTCTACGTGCGTCGTGCTGAAGGGGTTGAGTCGCAGCGGCATTGCTGTCTGTAGCGCCTGTTTCCTTCCTTTCAAGGCGAGAGCTGCATTTTGTTTCTATTAGTTTGGATTTGATTTGATCCACTAGAGTATTTTTAGCTTCTAACAACGTTTCTATTTTTTATAAATATTGTCATAAAGCTGTTTGCATGCCTGTTTTAATAGTGAAACAATTTATGTGACGAATGCGAAAATTAAAACAGGAAAAACATCAGTATATATATATATATATATATATATATATATATATATATATATCAACAATGTTGTTGTTGTTGAAATTGAACTTTGACTCAGTTATATATATATATATCGGTTTATATCGACATATCGTTTTAATTACCGACATTATGGAACGTCGATATCTATTACTCTCGGGAATATCGATATTCCCAAATTTCTATGTTTATAAGAACGATGTTGCATCACAAGTTATGGCGGGGACGATGCGATGACGATATATTTATTATCACATGACCAACATTGCTACCACCTCACCTCCACCACAGTTACTTGACTCATACAGCATGATTGACAAGGAAGCCAACCGAACATACCTGATGGAAACACAGGACCTCATCATTGGCGGATTCTCAAAGTGGCCCAATCATAGTCCCGGTTTGTTGGATGGCGGGAGAGTATGTGTGGTCGTTTGTCTGTTTGTTCGTTCATTCATTCATTTGTTCGTTCATTCGTTTGTTAGTTTGTTCGTTAATTCGTATGTTTGTTAATTAGTTTGTTTGTTTTCTTGTTTGTCTTATTGATTTCTTTTTGGTTTGTCTCTTTGTTTGATGGTGTGTTTCTTTGTATGTTTACTTATTACTACCATCAACTACGACAACGACAGATGCCCTACACGCCTACTTTGCCATCTGCGGTCTGTCTCTAATGAACGAACCGGGCCTCCAGCAGATGCAACCTGCCCTCAACATCTCCGTCAGAGCTGCCCACTGGTTGGACAACATACATCAAGGTCTTTTTAATAACAATAATACTAATTAATAATAATAGTCTCAATAATAATGTTAAGAACTTTTTTATTTTGGTGTTGTTAACTTACGATAGTAAATTAATATAAATGATATTAATGAAAATTAATTTCAACTTTTTTGAAGACTGGAAAACAAGATCTGTCGCTGGAGATCCATTCCTAGTGCCGTCATTATCACCAGCATCGTTAACACCATCGTCATCTTCATCACTCCAACAAACATCCTTGATATCGTTATCATCATTACTGACTTCGTTACCACTACCGACGACTTTACAGACGTCACCATTGACGTCATGGTCTACATTTGCTGATAACCAATAAAATCATTCCTCATTTGATTGATCGGTTGACTGGCTGGTTGATTGGTTGGTTAGCTGATTGAAGGCTCGTTGGTTGAATCACTGATTGGCTCGTTGGCTGGTCGATTGATTGATTGGTTGATGAATTTTTTCATTAAATAACTCTTTCACCTATTCATTCTTCTAAATTGAAACTCCAATTGAAGTTTGTTTGTGATTTAGATTTTTAGGCTTTTTGATTTTATACTTCTGGCGTCATTTATTATTTAGAATGCGCTTTTTTTACATAATGGAAGATTTCTAAAAAATATTGTTTTTCTTAAAAATTGTTCCTCGTTTTATCGATTTCACATTTCATATTGTCAAAATTGTCTCGAGTTTTTAGACATCACCAGTTTGCTAAGTGCCAAAAGTTTAACTTTTGATCAACTTCCATTTTAATCATTTTTTTGAGCGTTACGTTTTAATTCAAACATAAAACTAATGAACTTTCGATTTTAGAGTCTATAGAAGCCCTTGCCCAGGCAAACCCAATTCTACAGTTATTATAATTATAGCTTTACAATAAACAAATTATTTTATGAACCTAAATAAGCTAAACTAACAACTCACAACATTGCTAGATTACGGAAAAGTTTGTAAACCAAACGTACAACATAAGTTCAAATCTTCTGTCCATCAACAACTGGATTGCTATCCAACAACGCGTTAATACAGCGATTTCATTCAATTACAGCTTTTCAACATACGAAGCCGGGTTTGGTGATCAAGTGAATTTTTGGTTAGGGTTAACCACTATTTATAGAATAACAAAAAATAAAAATAAAATAAGATTTGAAATGCAAGCCACTGACAACAAGTGGTACTCTGCTGAGTATTCCTTCTTCTATTTAGACCCACTGTCGACTCGTTACATCCTACAACTTGTAGCGTCGGTGATGCTGGTGACGCAATGAGGATGGATTCACCAATAGTAGACATAATTGAACACGAATTTAAAACCTGGGAAACCGCATCATCTTGCCGATTTCTTATGGCCGGTGGATGGTGGTTGAATTCAGCTTAAAAAATTTCGGTGCAGTTTTTCATGAGCTTGTTTTTCATTCTAAAAAATTAATTTGGTTTTTCAATCAAAATTGTGGGGTTTTTTCAGTATTTGGCCTTCGGCTGTATGGTGGATCCACTATTCGGCCAAATTAGCATTTCGGTGCACCTCTAGTAACAATATTGAAACAAAATAATAAAATTAGACCATTACTAATCTGATCACGTAGTCAAAAGCAGTCAAAAAAATTTCAACAACATTTGTAGTGGTTACAATTAAAAGCAATTATAATGATGGGCGCGAGTCCAACTGAACGTTTGAACCTAATTCCATGACCGGATTGAGACCATTCAATATAACCGAGGTGTATGATTGAAAGACAAAAATAAGTACATAAAATCTCGATTCTGGGTGCGCTGGTCGGGATCAATACGAAATATCTGGTGGAACTTTCAAAAAGCGCCTTTCAACGCACGTTATGATCATTTACATTTAAAACTCAAGCCATACCCCTAGTAAAAAAATGGTATCTGGTCTGGGTTAAGTTAACTTTTATTAAAATATTCAAATGCAATTATTTTGTCCAAAATGTAGTTAGTCAGACATGAAAGATGTGAAATATGAAATGAGTGAAAGATAATGTTAGTTTGAAATCAAGACGTTTTATCAGTGGATTAGTGCAAAATCAATGAGACCGGCTTGGAGCTCTCTGAGCTACCAATAGACATTTTAATTGAATAATTAATTGAATAATTAATCAATTACCTCATTTTCATTTTTACGATAATGTTAAGAAATCAACGATCTTACGTTTAAACAATGAGGGAATGTGATAATGAAAAAAAAAATCTATGATGGATGTATAGTATAAGTCAATATCTCGATATCTACACACAAACACACATACTGCACACAAACACACCCACACAAGCACACACACAGACACACAGATAAATACGTATACATATACATAGACAGACATATTTACAGGTATTTAATTTGAAGGCACTGCATGGTCACTTCACCTTAAATATTTGCGAGGTTGAGTGAAAAAATTATGAAACATGAAAACCAATTTTAACATTAATAATAATAACAACAATAACAACAACAACAATAACAACAACAATAATAATAATATAAGATAATAAAATAATATAACTGAATATCCAAATCACCCAACGAAGTGCTCACAAAATAAATTAGAAAAGGAAAAGGTAAGAAAGAAAAGTAAAAAATGAAGGGAGAGAGAAATAGAATGAAAAAGGGTAAGAAAGAGAGAGAGAAACAGAGAGAAAGAGAAACAGAGAGAAAGAGAAACAGAGAGAAAGAGAAACAGAGAGAAAGAGAGTGACTCGTCATTTTTTCATTAACATTGTCACTAATGTAAGCAGCAGTACAAAGAAAATAAAGGTAAAAGAGAAAGTAATGTTTGTACATGTGAATGGGCAATCGAAACGAGCAGAAAATAATAATGAACCTAAATTAATAGTTATTCATTAATTACATATTTGTAACAATAAATTCCTTATCAGAAACGAATCAGCAGCAACTCTCGTCTCCAACAAACTTCGAATTCAATTAACATGAACTTGATTGAACGGTGAATAAATTATGATAATGAGAAAACGAATGAAGGGGGATGTTTCTTCGTTAAATGCAGGTTGTACAAATGGTGACGAATGTGATTGCGTATCGTACTGCTGTTAATCACGATGATGACGATAATGTCTTCATGATAATGATGGAGATGGTGATGAAGAAGAATATGATGATGATGTTGCAAATGATGATGATGATGTTGCAAATGATGATGATGATGATGCAAATGATGATGATGTCACAACATGCCAACGTCGTGTCATCACCCATCCATTCAATGAACCCTGACTTGCAATACAAAAGAAAAATGAAATAAAGAGAGAGAGAGAGAGAGAGAGAGAGAGAGAGAGAGAGAGAGAGAGAGAGTAGAAAAAAATATTGCCGTGAATGAGTGAAGAAGAAAGAATAAAAGAAAGGAAGCATGCACATTCCTAATCATCAAGTCACATCAGCAAAACCCTCATCCTAATTATAATTCATCTCTTTCTTTCTCCAAGCTTTCACCACCACCACCACCACCATTACCATTACCACCAACAGACTCTCCACCCTCACCACCACCACTCTGTCTCACCAGAACATCGCCATTATCATCATTGCGACCAACACCACCATCATCACCTGCAATGCGATCATTATCAAAACGAGCATCATCATCATCATCAGGATTACCCACTCTTCCGTCTACATAACCCCTCTTATCATCATCATCATCATCATCAGTCGATATGATGGCAATCGGTTTTGTTGTTGTTGATGATGATGTCCCGTCATAACCAGACGATGAAGACAATGAAGAAGATGTTGACGGTGATGGCGATGATGACGAAACAGTGACGTCATCAACAGTTCGGTCGGGTGATAAATTGTAATCCCGAAGAACTGAGTGGATGAGTCTGATGAAAGAATCATGGTTGACGTCATCTTCGTACAAAGCGACCTGATATGTCAGGGGTGGAATCATCATCACCACCACCTTAAATATCATCACTATCACCACCACCTTTAATATCATCATCATCATCACCACCACCTTTAATATCATCATCATCACCACCACCGTTAATATCATCATCATCATCACCACCTTTAATATCATCATTACCACCACCACCACCAGCGGAGCAACTCACCCTCTGCCCCATGTGGCTCACGATAACTGAAGGCACGTTGATGATCATCTCTCTCTGGCACAAAACTTCCTCCGCAACACAATCCACCTGTCACGTGACGTTCGTTCGTTCATTCATTCATTCAATCACTCATTCATTCATTTTTTCATTCACTCATTTGTTTTTTCATTTAGGCATTTGTTATTCATTTATTTATTCGTTTGTTCAATCAATCGTTCGTTCATCAACGCATGACTTTCTGAGATCTAGTTGAGCTGACATTTATGTATGTATATCTGGATGTTTATGTATATCTGTATGTATGTATGTATGTATGTATGTATGTATGTATGTATGTATGTATGTATGTATGTATGTATGTATGTATGTATGTATGTATGTATGAATGTATGAATGTATGTGTGTGTGTGTATGTATGTATGACAAACCTGATAGACATGAACATGTTCAGTCTGACTAAAGGCATCCCTAACTTTCTTCCATTCATTAGTGATGACATCATTCATGACGTCATCATCTGCCACGTATCTGTGGGGCCGGTAGAACATGACGAAAGTGAACTTGCCGGATGAGACGTGCTCGTCAAACGTTGCAGCTGTCAGCTGGAAGTTGTTGATGTTAGCGTCATTAATGACGTCACCAGCGCTGACGTCATTGTTGAGATTGTCCGTGCTGTCGCCAGATGGAGCATCATCGTTGTCATCGTCATACCTTTTGTCATTTTTCAAACTCTTGTTACCATCATCAACACTCTCACCATCGTTGTTGTTGTTGTTGTTGTTGTCGTTGTCTTTACTATTGTCAGAAATTTGTTGATTGATGATGAATCTCAAAGATCCATCCTGCAATTGTTGCTGTTGTTGTTGGACGCCATCTTGTTCCTGCCTCATGAACTTCTTCACCACCATCACCTTAATCTTCCCACTGCCTGATATGGTGTCGACGATTCTGTCGACACCCAGTTCAAAGTTGTCCGGTAAGGATTGCCGGTGCGCTTCAGGTTGTAGATCAACGTGTTGTTGTGGTTGCTGTTGTTGTTGCTGCTGTTGTTGTTGTGCTGGTAGTGACGCGGCGATGTTTGCTATGAAGTCCTTCAGCCTGTCAAAATCTCTCAACCCATGGTACTGACCGATCTGTTTCGGATAGGTAGGTGCCATTACATTCAGTAAATGAAACAAACGTATTCAACTGATTGATTACCAAAATCATCGTTACTTTATTATTTTGAAGTTGCTAACGTAACTAATTAGAAATATAATAGGAGGAGGGAGGGGGTGAAATATTTAACTTCAACAAAAATTATAATAAAATACAAAAGAAGAACAACGAATGACAAAACGACATCGAGACATACAACAACACAGACATCAACACAGACAACAACACAGACAACAACACAGACATCAACACAAACAACAACACAGACATCAACACAGACAACAACACAGACATCAACACAGATAACAACACAGACATCAACACAGACAACAACACAGACATCAACACAGATAACAACACAGACATCAACACAGGCAACAACACAGACAACAACACAGACATCAACACAGACAACAACACAGACATCAACACAGACAACAACACAGACAACAACACAAACAACGACACAGACAACAACACAGACAACAACACAGACAACAACACAGACAACAACACAGACAACAGAACTCAGATATACTAACAATATTTCCCTGTTGGATAACAAGGAGAGATGGAAAGGATTGCACGGAGAACCTGTTGCAAGTCGCTCCATAGTTCGTGCAATCGATCTGTATTCATTCATCCATTTATTTTTTCGTTCATCCATTCATTCATACATTCATTTGTTCATTCATTCGTTTTTCATTCAATCATTTATCCGATTAATATAACTATATAATTGATTTATAAACTTATTGAATGATATTCCTTTATCTGTTAATAATGATCAACTCACCAACCCACTAATTCGTTTATTCATGCATCCAACCATTCAAACTACCACCTCAATGAATTGTAATGATATTTATTTTTAATTCATTCATTAAATTTTAATTAAACAGTTATCCAATTATCATATTAACTGAAGGATAATTATCATTCATTTATTAGTTGTTTCATCCACCCATTCGTCCATCCAACCAACCATTCATATGGCAGTTTTTGGAAACAGCAAACAAAACACAGACTCCTTTTATTCCATTACCATAACATCTCTCTTCAAACTATCCTATCCAAAAATCCCATCTATAAATATTCCATTTACAGTTCCCAAACACAAATCCTCCTCACCCACAATCCTCAACCACGAATCACAATCCCAAATCCTGTCCACAAATCCTATCTACGAATCCTATCCACAAACGCCAACCAACTCTAAATCCCCTATTTACCACTAATCGCAATCCCAAATCCTATTTACAAATCCCATCTACAAATCCTATCCACAAACCCCAAAAACCCCAAATCCCCCATTTACAATCTCAATTTCCAATCCCAACTGCAGATCCCATCCACGAAACCCACTCACCTTATAATCCCACTCTCATCATCCAAAGCCGCATCTACAATCGACTCACCTTCGAAATGTAAATTTCCTCATGCTCCTGGAAATGTTCCCTCATATGATTCCAGGCGGCAGACATGGCCAGGCAGTGACTGCACCAGGGAACGTAGAATTTGATGAAGTTGATGAGGTTGGGATCGTTGATGGACTTGTCGAACAGCTGTGGGGTGAGCTCGTACGCTTTCTCCTGTTAAGTTTTTTTTATTCAGTTTGATTTCATTGTTGTACAGATTTTGTGATTGTGTGTGTGTGTGTGCGTGTGTGTAACTAGTGATGAAGATGATGATGATTAGGAGAGTTTCCACTTAAAATAATGCCAAAAAATTAATAAACTCATTTTTTGCGATTAATAAAATATTTTCAAAAGCAGAGTATAAAATTTTTTAAATTTTGGAGAAATTATTGAGAAAATTTCTTAGAGGAAAAAACTTGAAATTTAATAGCAACAGAATGGTGATGGGAGCATTAGAAATGAAGAAACAGAATCAAACTGAATGACACCAACATGCGGTCGAGGAG